TATACTGTGTAGACTATGTATACTGTAGTAGACTATGTATACTGTAGTAGACTGCATGTATACTGTAGTAGACTGCATGTATACTGTAGTAGACTGCATGTATACTGTGTAGACTATGTATACTGTAGTAGACTATGTATACTGTTTGTAGACTGCATGTAATACATGCAGTACACAGACTATGTATACTGTAGTAAAACTGCAATGGGATAGTGTAGTAGACTGCATGTATACTGTAGTAGACTGCATGTATACTGTAGTAAACTGAATGCATTCTGTAGTAGACTGCATGTATACTGTGGTAGACTGCATGTATACTGTAAGACTATGTACACTGTAGTAAAACTGCATGTATACTGTAGTAGACTGCATGTATACTGTAGTAGACTGCATGTATACTGTAGTAAACTGCATGTATACTGTAGTAGACTGCATGTATACTGTAGTAGACTGCATGTATGCTGTAGTAGACTACTTGTATACTGTAGTAGACTGCATGCATACTGTGGTAGACTGCATGTATACTGTGGTAGACTGCATGTATACTGTAGTAGACATGTATTAAACTGTAGTAGACTATGTATACTGTAGTAGACTGCATGTATACTGTAGTAGACTGCATGTATACTGTGGTAGACTATGTATACTGTAGTAGACTATGTACACTGTTGTAGACTGCATGTATACTGTAGTAGACTGCATGTATACTGTAGTAGACTGAATGTATACTGTATAGACTGCATGTATACTGTGGTAGACTGCATGTATACTGTAAGACTATGTATACTGTAGTAGACTGCATGTATAGTGTAGTAGACTGCATGTATAGTGTAGTAGACTGCATGTATACTGTAGTAGACTGCATGTATACTGTAGTAGACTGCATGTATACTGTAGTAGAATTCATATATACTGTGGTAGACTATGTATACTGTAGTAGACTATGCATACTGTAGTAGGCTGCATGTATACTGTAGTAGACTGCATGTATACTGTGTAGACTATGTATACTGTAGTAGACTATGTATACTGTAGTAGACTGCATGTATACTGTAGTAGACTGCATGTATACTGTGGTAGACTGCATGTATACTGTGGTAGACTGCATGTATACTGTGTAGACTATGTATACTGTAGTAGACTGCATGTATACTGTAGTAGACTGCATGTATACTGTAGTAGACTGCATGTATACTGTGGTAGACTATGTATACTGTAGTAGACTATGTATACTGTAGTAGACTGCATGTATACTGTAGTAGACTGCATGTATACTGTAGTAGACTGAATGTATACTGTAGTAGACTGCATGTATACTGTGGTAGACTGCATGTATACTGTAAGACTATGTATACTGTAGTAGACTGCATGTATACTGTAGTAGACTGCATGTATACTGTAGTAGACTGCATGTGTACTGTAGTAGACTGCATGTATACTGTAAGACTATGTATACTGTAGTAGACTGCATGTATACTGTAGTAGACTGCATGTATACTGTAGTAGACTGCATGTATACTGTAGTAGACTGCATGTATACTGTGGTAGACTGCATGTATACTGTAGTAGACTGCATGTATACTGTAAGACTATGTATACTGTAGTACACTGCATGTATACTGTAGTAGACTGCATGTATACTGTAGTAGACTGCATGTATACTTTAGTAGACTGTATGTATACTGTAAGACTATGTATACTGTTATAGACTGCATGTATACTGTAGTAGACTGCATGTATACTGTAAGACTATGTTTACTGTAGTAGACTGCATGTATACTGCAGTAGACTGCATGTATACTGTAGTAGACTGCATGTATACTGTAGTAGACTGCATGTATACTGTAGTAGACTGCATATATACTGTGGTAGACTGCATGTATACTGTGGTAGACTGCATGTATACTGTAGTAGACTGCATGTATACTGTAGTAGACTATGTATACTGTAGTAGACTGCATGTATACTGTAATAAACTATGTATACTGTAGTAGACTGCATGTATACTGTAGTAGACTAGGTATACTGTAGTAGACTATGTATACTGTAGTAGACTGCATGTATACTTTAGTAGACTATGTATACTGTAGTAGACTGCATGTATACTGTAGTAGACTGCATGTATACTGTAATAGACTATGTATACTGTAATAGACTATGTATACTGTAATTGACTGTGTATACTGTAGTAGACTGTTCTACGTAATAGACCCGTGTATACTGTAATAGACTGTGTATACTGTAGTAGACTGTGTATACTGTAATAGACTGTGTATACTGTAATAGACTGTGTATACTGTAGTAGACTATGTATACTGTAATAGACTATTTATACTGTAATAGACTGTGTATACTGTAGTAGACTGTGTATACTGTAAAAAGACTGTGTAAAACTGTAATAGACTGTGTATACTGTAGTAGACTGTGTATACTGTAATAGACTGTGTATACTGTAATAGACTGTGTATACTGTAGTAGACTGTGTATACTGTAATAGACTGTGTATACTGTAATAGACTGTGTATACTGTAATAGACTGTGTATACTGTAATAGACTGTGTATACTGTAATAGACTGTGTATACTGTAGTAGACTGTGTATACTGTAGTAGACTGTGTATACTGTAGTAGACTGTGTATACTGTAATAGACTGTGTATACTGTAATAGACTGTGTATACTGTAGTAGACTGTGTATACTGTAATACACTGTAAGGTCGCCTGCCTTCTTGAAAATAAAAACAATGAAAGGAAACCCCTATTTCCTTAACATACAGTACACAACTGAATTATTATTCTTTATTATAATCATTAATAAGCACTAAACCCACAAGGGTCATACAACACCGTGATATAATAAGTATCATGGTCAACGCTCGGTGTTTATGCAGGATATTTCATGGTTTTCAAAGGGTAGTGTCGATTTTTATTATTATAATCAAATAGAAGCGCTAAACAAGGGAGGGCTGAACCCTAATGCGTCCGAGAGATTGTTGTGAGGAAGATTTATAATCGAAAAAAGCGCTAAACCTACAAGGGTTATGTAGCACTTGTGAGGAAGGAAGGATCAATAATTCTGCCAGAGTGCAAAACATTTAACAGGTTTTTCTTGTACGCTGAGACAGGTGGTTGTGCCTCCACGTTACGTTCATGGGATGCGAGCCAATGGGGGTCATACGGTGTCTGGGCATTCAAGTTTGATCCAGGGAAAGGGAGGGCAGGTCCAAGTCCTTGAATTAAGAGCCTCTCACCATCAAGATTAATGGACTGAATATACTGACTCCAAGTTGGGGGATTGATTACCTCAAACTTATCTTCCGTCATTCTTCTCCGTACATATTGGACTGAAGACGCCACTGGCTACTCAAACATTTCCACGAAGATTCTCAGATTTAGATTTTAGATTTTGCCACCGAAGTGGCTAGTTTATTGTGCACCCCATATCCATCCTGTGGACGGTAGCGCGAGAGCATATGGATACACAAAAGGCCTAAGAACTAGGCCCCAAAGGGTTAACAGGAATACATATGGATTTATATCTACATATCTATAGTTCACTTATCTGTTACAAGCAAATTTAGGAAATTTGCTTAGTATATCTGGTATCTTATTTTCATTAATAAGATATCTTGACATGTCACATAGGTTATTATACTGTCTGTCTCTGTATTCCTCAATAAGTGGACAATTAAGCACATTCTCAGGTGTTGCACAAACATCTCATTCTTCAACTTGTCAGTTTTCTAAACTATTTACATTACATCAAGAACTTTCTAAGAAGGACCAAGGTTGTATTGGCATATATTTAATATTTATGTACATAACTTGAATATAACAAATTATTATTATCATAGGAAAGCGCTATACCCGAAGGGATTATACAGTGCCTTTGGTGGGGATGTGGAAGACATTTAGTCTCAATTCAGGGAACTGGATTGCAGATCCAATTCCTTAGATCAACTATTATTATTATAATCAAGGGGAAGTGCTAAACCCGGAGGATTATACAGCGCCTGGGGGGGGGGGGGATGTGGAAGGCATTCAGGCTTAATTCGGGGAACTGGAGCACAGATCCAATTCCCTAAATCAAGAGCCCCTCACCAACATCAAGGAACCTTCCTTGAGGGGCTATAGCAACATATACACTACTGAGATTGACCGGGGATCAAACCCATGACATCTACCCAGCCTCCCAGGACACTAGATAAATTTCTCAACACCTTTATCCCCAGTTGCAGTATTGTATTTGCTTAAGAGCACTGTGCCATGTAGATGCATTAATAGGAACACATGGGTAAATTACGTATTACCCAAAAAAGTCAAAGCGACTTATTACTATTGGAAACGGATATGCGCAATCCTTCAAAAACCTTAACTTTGTTTTGCTTTTCTTCTAATTACCATTTTTTGTATTGTATTTAAGGAGTTCTTCTGAGGAAAGAAACAATCAGGTTGGTCCAAGGGAGGATAGCTTTAATTCAATGGATCAAAAGCTTTAACAAACATCAAAGCTTCCCCCCATACTTGAATTATTACATTTACAGGGGCGTGCTAAAACCTTAAAGGTCATGCAGCACCTGGGGGAATGGAAGGCATTCAGGTTATTCAAGGCACGAGGGACTGACCACCCACCACCAAGGGTGACAGACCAACCATGTCAATATTACTGATGATGTTGGTAGACTAGACACTGGTCTGAAATTGTTAATGTCAGTTTAATCACCTTTGTCAATGTATCTTCCAAGACAGTCTGGAAAGGCGTTCTAAATGATTTGTTGAATAGACTTTCAGCAACACAACCAACCACAGGGCTATAGCCCGTATACGGGTAATTCAACATCTATTTCTTAACCAACCACAGGGACTATAGCTTGTATATGGGTAATTCAACATCTATTTCTTAACCAACCACAGGAACTATAGCTTGTATATGGGTAATTCAACATCTATTTCTTAACCAACCACAGGGACTATAGCTTGTATATGGGTAATTCAACATCTATTTCTTCAATTTTTTATTCATATTGTATATACAGTATTAATTTACAAAATAGTTTGTATAATACTCAGAAATGGTAAGATACATATAGTAATAATCACTAGTGTACTAGAGCACAGATTTTGTTCACCGCACATCACTAAGACTCACACACACACACTACACACCACAATGTCTACATCCATTACTTAGATAATGTAACATGTGGCTCATAATTCTTTGATTTGGATGCATATTTTATCACTGCCAGCTTTTTAACTAACAAAAAAGTGTAAATAAGACAATTGTATTTCAAAACAGCCCTAAAAATTGGAAAATGCTTTAGTAACTAAAAAGTAGTAATTATTACTGGACAATGAAACAGTCCCCATGGAAAAATTAACCCGTATAGGTCATACAGTGCATATGGAATGAGATATTCAATTTGATCTAAGGAGATGGAGGAAAGCTCCAGTTCCATAGATCAAGAACCCTTCAGTATTTCAATGCCTACCCTCTGAAGAGTGTGTGCGCTGTAGAAGGCAACTAATGTGCTGGGGAACAAGGGGCTAATCCCTAAACTTCTATTCAGAACCCACAAAATGGAGAGGAAAATAAGGCCATTAGTTATTTTACATACCTCTCTGTATAATAAAGAATAAAATGCATATTTAATTGACTTCAGGTCACTCTGGGTTACTATGATTCATTCCAGTTTGCCTTGGATTATTCTGGCTCACTTGGCTGTCATTGTAAGTCACCCTCACTGGGTCATCCTGGGTCACCTTGGATGACCTAGGTCACGTTGGGTAATTCACTCTAGCATGGGCATGAAATAACATGGAAGTAAAACCAAAACCAAAGTCTAGTAGTTAAAATATGGTAGTTAGAGCAGATGGGATCACCTTGGAGCCTGATATGTATATGCATAAAAACTTAGCAACCCACTTTATGCTGTATTTAAGGTCTCCCTCGAAGGTAAAGTGTCTGGCTGACAGTGCTAAATATTTGTGCAGATATATAAACAAGTGATAGATTATTATAATAATCAAAAAGAAGGGCTAAGCCACAAGGGCTATACAGTGCTGCAGGGCAGGAAGGAAGCAAGGGTATCAGGTGGCAAAAGGGAGAGGGATGAGTAGTAGGTTACGGAGAACAGCGGGTCAGTGGATAGCAAAAGGGTAAAGGGCAGCAAAAGATTGAGGTAGAAAGGGCTAAGGGGAGTGCAAAAGGTATCATCATCAGAGTTTGTGGAGTAAATCAGTCGTTGTCAATAAGTCAATGAGAGAGTCAGGATTAAAGGAGGGTCCATCAACAAGAAGGGAAGGTAAAGAAAGAGTAGGAGAGTGGAGACGACGTTGGAGGTAAATGCTGCGTGCTCGTTGATAGAGAGGCCAGTCTAACAGTGTGTGGCTAACCGATACTGGAACCTGACACTTCTCACAGAGAGGAACAGGGCGCCTTTCCATGAGATATCCATGAGTAAGACGAGTGTGGCCAATGCAAAGACGGGAGAGAGTAGTCTCCCAACCTCGACACTGATGACAAGAAGACAGCCAGTTACCTATACTCGGTTTAATAGACTGAAGTTTGTTATTATTATTATAATCAAAAAGAAGCGCTAAGCCACAAGGGGCTGAAGTTTGTTACAGAGCAGATTAGACCAACGTTGTTGCCAACGGGTGTAAAGGTGGGTAGCTATTACAGCAAAACAGTCCGTAAATGGAACACCTCTATATGAAACTGGTAGGTCATGTACTGCTGACCGCGCAGCAGTGTCTGCCTGTTCATTGCCCTGCACGTCAAAATGACCAGGGACCCAAAAAAAAAAAAATATCCTTATGCTTAGTAGAGATGTGGCGTAGCCAAAGTTGGATACGGAGAACTAGGGGGTGAGGAGTATCAAATTTTTGTATAGCCTGTAGAGCACTAAGGGAGTCTGAGACAACCACAAATGATGACACAGGCATAGAGGCAATACGGGTAAGTGCTGCAAAAATGGCATACAATTCAGCATTAAAAATGCTAGCCGAAGATAGTAAATGCCCTCGCACGATGCTGTCCGGAAACACTGCTGCGAATCCGACGTCATCAGAAGACTTAGAGCCATCTGTGTACACTGCAATGGCATGAGAATGAGAGTGGAAGTGGTCAAGAAAAAAGAGAGCGGGAAGCTACCGTAGGAAGTTGGGCTTTCGAGCAAGGGAGAGAGAAAGAACAGACTCAAACAGCTGGAACTTCCCAGGGGGGGGGGGGTAGGGAAAAGTGAGATGCTACATGAACATAGGCAAGTGATAGAGAAATACTTTTAAATTAGAAAGAAGTATGTATTACTGAGTTGAATACCAGCTAAAATACAACTAATCAGAGAAAGATGGCAAAACACTTGGAAAATAAGAATCTGTTAAGTAAACTGGTTGCAAATCGGCAAACTCTTGTATAGTCCAGTATAGCCATTTGTAAATCTAATTTGAAAATACCAGAAATAAGATATGAAAGGTTATTAGAATCGATGAAAGATTTTTTTTGAAGAAGAAGAAAATGAGGAGAAAGCTCTCCATGGGGAAGTGGAACAGAATATTTCCTCCGTAAGCTATGCGTGTCGTAAGAGGCGACTAAAATGCCGGGATCATGAGGCTAGTAACCCTTTTTCCTGTATATATTACTAAATATAAAAGGAAAAACTTTCATTTTACCTTTTGGGCCGCCCCACCTCGGTGGGATGTGGTCGGTGTGTTGAAAGAAAGAGGATTACTGTAGTGAAGTTACACAAGCTTCATTATATGCCTCAAAAACAGGGTTAATTCGTATTAAACTTATAAAAAAAGATTAACATGTTATGAATATAAATTTTTGCAGAAAGATTTCACTATCTTGCACAGGTACAGTGATGATTAGATGCCGCATTTAATTTTAAAAGTGATTAAATCTTAGAACGTTTATGAAGGGATTCAGGGTAACCAGTTAGCCAGACTCGAGTCCTGGAAGTGTGAGGTACAGTGCCTGCACTCTGAAGACGGGGTGGGGATACTGCAATTTGGAAGGGCATCTGAAGTGAAGTATTAGCAAACATTTGGCAAAACAGTGAAGGAGTGAGTGATGGTAAAAACTTTTTTTTTTTTTTTTTTTTTTGCCTCAGTGGGAGACAGCCGGTGTGTTAAAAAATCTTCAAAAATATCTGTAAAAGAAAAAATCTTCACTTAACTGTATTATTATATTCAAAGGGAAGTGCTAAACCTGTAGGGTTTATACATCAACTGTGGAATGGGAATTAATTTGGTATGACTTGAGGAAGGGGAGGGTAGCTCCAATTCCTTGGATCAAGGGTTCCTCACTAGCATCAAGGCATTCCCTTGAAGGAGATACGATTGAAAACAAAAGTAAGCCTAGCAGTAAGTAGGTACCTGGATGTTAGTCGACCATTATGGGTGGCATCCTGGTGGTGGTAGTATATCTTGGATAGGGAACACGATTGTAAACAAAAGTAAGCCTAGCAGTAAGTAGGTACCTGGATGTTAGTCGACTGTTATGGGTGGCATCCTGGTGGTGGTAGTATATCTTGGATAGGGAACACGACTGTAAACAAAAGTAAGCCTAGCAGTAAGTAGGTACCTGGATGTTAGTCGACCATTATGGGTGGCATCCTGGCGGTGGTAGTATATCGGTAGTATATCTTGGATAGGGAACACGATTGTAAACAAAAGTAAACCTAGCAGTAAGTAGGTACCTGGATGTTAGTCAACCGTTATGGGTGGCATCCTGGTGGTGGTAGTATATCTTGGATAGGGAACACGATTGTAAACAAAAGTAAGCCTAGCAGTAAGTAGGTACCTGGATGTTAGTCGACCATTATGGGTGGCATCCTGGCGGTGGTAGTATATCTTGGATAGGGAACACGATTGTAAACAAAAGTAAGCCTAGCAGTAAGTAGGTACCTGGATGTTAGTCAACCGTTATGGGTGGTATCCTGGTGGTGGTAGTATATCTTGGATAGGGAACACGATTGTAAACAAAAGTAAGCCTAGCAGTAAGTAGGTACCTGGATGTTAGTCGACCATTATGGGTGGCATCCTGGTGGTGGTAGTATATCTTGGATAGGGAACACGATTGTAAACAAAAGTAAGCCTAGCAGTAAGTAGGTACCTGGATGTTAGTCGACTGTTATGGGTGGCATCCTGGGGGTGGTAGTATACCTTAAATGGGGCTAGACTTTAAAATGTGCTGAGGTAGGATAACAGATCTTAGCCTGGAAAACTGATGTGTAAAAAAAAAAAAAAAAAAAAAAATCCACAAGATTCTGCAAATGGGAGAGAATCTTTGTTAATATTACCAAATTCCAAGATAGCTTTCACACATTGTAAAGGAAATGCTAGAATTTTTTACAATGTATTTTAGAAATAACTGAAACTATGTGACTGTACTGTATTATGGTTCTTGTAAATAAAGTGACGGTACTGTATTATGGTTCTTGTAAATAAAGTGTCTGTACTGTATTATGGTTCCTGTAAATAAAGTGACTGTACTGTATTATGGTGCTTGTAAATAAAGTGACTGTACTGTATTATGGTTCTTGTAAATAAAGTGACTGTACTGTATTATGGTTCCTGTAAATTAAGTGACGGTACTGTATTATGGTTCTTGTAAATAAAGTGACTGTACTGTATTATGGTTCTTGTAAATAAAGTGACTGTACTGTATTATGGTTCTTGTAAATTAAGTGACGGTACTGTATTATGGTTCTTGTAAATAAAGTGACTGTACTGTATTATGGTTCCTGTAAATTAAGTGACGGTACTGTATTATGGTTCTTGTAAATAAAGTGACTGTACTGTATTATGGTTCCTGTAAATTAAGTGACGGTACTGTATTATGGTTCTTGTAAATAAAGTGACTGTACTGTATTATGGTTCTTGTAAATAAAGTGACTGTACTGTATTATGGTTCTTGTAAATTAAGTGACGGTACTGTATTATGGTTCTTGTAAATAAAGTGACTGTACTGTATTATGGTTCTTGTAAATTAAGTGACGGTACTGTATTATGGTTCTTGTAAATTAAGTGACGGTACTGTATTATGGTTCTTGTAAATTAAGTGATGGTACTGTATTATGGTTCTTGTAAATTAAGTGACGGTACTGTATTATGGTTCTTGTAAATTAAGTGACAGTACTGTATTATGGTTCTTGTAAATTAAGTGACGGTACTGTATTATGGTTCTTGTAAATTAAGTGACGGTACTGTATTATGGTTCTTGTAAATAAAGTGACTGTACTGTATTATGGTTCTTGTAAATTAAGTGACGGTACTGTATTATGGTTCTTGTAAATTAAGTGACGGTACTGTATTATGGTTCTTGTAAATTAAGTGATGGTACTGTATTATGGTTCTTGTAAATTAAGTGACGGTACTGTATTATGGTTCTTGTAAATTAAGTGATGGTACTGTATTATGGTTCTTGTAAATAAAGTGACTGTACTGTATTATGGTTCTTGTAAATAAAGTGACTGTACTGTATTATGGTTCTTGTAAATAAAGTGACTGTACTGTATTATGGTGCTTGTAAATTAAGATAAATAACAGAAAAAAAAAATAAAGGCATACAAGACATAATCAATAAAACAGAACACTTGAAAATTCCCTCATGGAAACATAAAATATATAAACTACCATTTAAAAATTATAAAAAAACCCACCTAAGAAAGTATTTTTGTAACTACTAACTGGAAAAAACAAGGTCACAATTTTGAATTAGTCACTGAAAAGGCTAAGAAGCAGCTCGCCATCTTTAGCCATAAGAAGAAATGCTTTAACACAGTATAATATTTATTCGTGCAAAAAATTATAATACCTTTAAAATCAAAACTTTCGAAACTATTTTTTTATATTTTTTTACTTGTTTAGCCAAGTTTATACGTTGAGACGGTACTCAACAGAGAGAGAAACCTTCGGTGTTTCAGTCCAGTATGGAGCATTTACAAGTCAGCGTGCCTTGTAAATGGTCCAAGTTGGACTGAAATGCCGTCATAGCCTTCTCTGTCCTATGTGCGGGTTATTTAATGTTGTTCCAGTAACGGTATTGTGCCTTTTTCCTTCTTGGCAAAGTTTTAGTTCTATCATGAAGGTGCGGAGAAGATAACAGAATGGGAGATAGCTGGAATGGTACCGTGAGGGTATGGTGCATGCTATAATCACTGCAAAGTAACATAATGTGTAATAAATAAAGATGAGAGAGAACGAGTACGGCTCTACTCGTGCAGCTACACACGGGTGAAAATAGGTTATAACATACGTCATTTATTATTGCAAGTGTGAAATCAATTGTACCTCATAATATTTAAATATTGTCTCTTTCTTTCTTTCAACACAATATTGTCTCTATTCTTCATTAATAAATTTGTGCATAAATCAACATTACTTATACGATAAATAAACTTCCTTTCAAAATATATTAACATGCATTCCTTAACCTTGTACTCAAGATTTATTTAATTTTCTTTTTTAATCTATGGGTATTAAGAGCTCAAATAGTAGAAACAACTTTTCAGTATATATCACTATACTGTCTTAGTAGCTTCTAAAACGATTTCCCTATATACATTTTATTGCATAGATAACAGTAAGTTTCACATAGACTTTGCAGGACTGTACATAAATCACATCCAAAAGAATGATAAGGTAGAGTCAGCCATCAAATTGTTCATGTGGTGAACCAATATCATAATTTGTATTGTACAAACATAATTAATAAAAGTCTAAGCCTGACAAAGACTTCCACATGACTCATCTCAATGGCAATGCAGTCACTTTTGTTCCACCTGATCACTCAGTTAAAAAATAAACTCAAAACCCAGCTTATTGCTCAGTCTTTTCAGTCAATCTCTTAAGCAGAGGCTTCTTGTAGATCCAATTATCTCCTACCAAGTGAAATAGCTTAGTTTCCCATTCAATAACGTTGTCTTTACGGTATTTGGCTTCATCGCGCTGCTTCTGTTCCAGGGCACATTTGGCTGCTGTTGCTTGGTCTATTTGGTTGAATCTGTCAATAAAAGATTATTCTATAGAAGTTACCTTTTTCTGGCACTCAAAGCAGATAGTTATACATCTACAGTACCATTATTCGTTCAGTAGCTATCCTGCCAGAAATATACAGACATCATAGTTCAAATCACCCTCTGAACTGCAACATCCCCCTCTTTCAGGACTTAAGTCCAGCTAACTGGTTTCCATGAATTCCTTCATAAACGTTACCTTGCTCCAACACCACCGCTCCAATCAAACATACTCACACAAGCCTGCTGGATGTTCAAGCCCTTACAACTCAAAACCTCCTTACCCCCCCCCCTTCCCCTTCAACTATTCCTGGAATCATCCCAAGGTCTGGACACACACAACATCCTTGGACCTGGGTATTTCTCGAGAACCACTCAGAAGGATTTTAAAAAAGCCAGAAGTGTCTGTCCACACATTTGGGTCACCCTGTATATGGCAGGTCACGATAAACTTACTTGAGTCCTGCAGTGACGTCTTTCCACATGAACCTTGACTCATTTTCCGCTTGTTGGCTTATGGATTTAACATTCTTTTTCACGGTGCCCATACTCTGAGTATCTACAAATATCTTGCTTTCCTGTGGAAAAAAACTTAGTTTACTGAAACACCCAACGCTACATAAATGGATTAAAAAAAAAAAAAAAAATTGGTCACATGTAGTCGTTATAACATGATTGTAAAAAAAAAGACGGATTAGGCAAGGTTTGAACCCAGGGCACTGTATGACCCTTGTTGGTTTAGTGCTTCATTTTTTATTATAATAATAATAATTGAACCCAGAGCAAGAGAGTTTTAAAACTCACTCACTGGGGATTCAAACCCCACCCATTATGTGGTTTGTCAGAATAATCAGTCTATTGAAAATCCCTCTGTTACTGTATGAATACATTAAAAAAAAATTCTAGTAACTAATTATCAGAAATGCTACAAAAAAATTATGTTGTAAATATACGTTTTCTCTTAATTTATTTTATTTACAAGAAACAGTATTCAAGGAAAGTTGCATCACTGACCAGTGCCCAAAAATGGGACACCGCGATCCTAGCTCTGCTCCCACAACTACAAACAGGTCATTAAAGACACAAAAGACTACAAAATCTCTTAAAGAATTATGGTTGTGACATTATTGCAGTGTGATAGATGCCTTCCTTTCTCTGAACAGTACAAAATGTGGTTTAAATCATTCATGAAAACTAAAGAAAAAGATTGTTCGGTATAAATAACGGCAGTGAAATTGTCAAAGTATTTTACACTGGATATATTACCTCATGGGGAAGTGGAATAGAATTCTTCCTCCGTAAGTCATGCGTGTCATAAGAGGTGATTAAAATGGCGGGAGCAAGGGGCTAGTAACCCCTTCTCCTGTATATATTACTAAATTTAAAAGGAGAAACTATCATTTTTTCTTTTGGGCCACCCTGCCCTGTGGGATACAGATGGTTTGTTGAAAGATGATGATATTCCCTCAGCAAGAAAGATCTATGTGAGAATTACATATGCCTAGAAACTGTAATACTTACCATCTCAGAGCTAGGAACTGTAATACTTGCACTGTCCCACAGCTAGATACTGTACTGTATTTACACTATCCCACAGCAAGATGCTGTAATACTTACACCGACCCACAGCTAGATATGGTAATACTTGCACTGTCCCACAGCTAGATACTGTAATACTTGCACTGTCCCACAGCTAGATATTGTAATACAGTAGACTGTTGTTTAACACAGTTTTGTTTGGCACGTTTTGGTTATAGCACTATTGAAGAACTGCGGTATATTTTTGTATAACACTTCGTAAAATTAACTTAACATGGTTCAGTTTGTGGGAGGGGAAAAAATTGGGAGCGCGCATCACCTGCAGGATACACTTTGCTTGGCAGTGGGTTAGACCACTGAGTCAACGGGGGAGATTTACTGCCATCCCCCGTCACCCCCACCAAACTTGTCCCAGCCGATTCAAACGCGTGTAGGACGCCTGCTAGGAGCTACCCGTGTTAATTTTTGTTTGTTTGTGGATTGAGTTTAGATCTCTTAATTGCTAGATCTTAAATCTGCCAAACAATCATGACACCCAGTAGGCATACAAGTGTTGCTGAAAGTGGCAAGAAAAGATATAAGCGTTTAAGTCTTAGAATTAACGAAGAAAATAGATATACGTACTATATTAGACAATAGATAGCCTGTGGCCGTAATGAAGCATCACTGTGCACATAAAAAGAATGAGGTAAATATGAGTTTGTGTGATGACTGACTTACTGACTGATTTAAAGACTGACTGACTTGACTGACTGACTTACTGATTGACTTACTGACTTGACTGATTGACTTACTGACTTGACTGACTTACTGACTGACTTGGCTGATTTACTGACTTAAATTTAGACTTTTTTACTGAAGAGGACCCTGAAATGATATCTAGAGTAGCTGATGCCTTACCATCAGTTATATAATGTACTACAGGGTAAAATATTCCAGAAATCCATTACAGTACACTCCAGTACAACCATTGACTTCAGTACCAGAACCTCTACCATCCACCTCAGCTCAGTAGGACCACAGTATAACTCTCCACAAACACCAACACCCACAGTTTAAGGTAAGAAATACAGTGGACCCCCGACTAACAATATTATTTCAATCCAGAAGTCTGTTCGGGTGCCGTTATAGACCAAATTTGTTCCCATAAGGAATATTGTGAATTAGATTAGTCCATTTCAGACCACCAAAAATCCACCTACAAAAGCACTTACAAAAATACACTTACATAATTGGTCGAGTTGGGAGCTGATTGTTAGTCGGGGGTCCACTGTACTATTATTTCTGTTGCATTTGTAATCTTAAGCTAAAAGCAACATGATACATCACGATAATGAACTACAATTACAAATTCACTTTTATTTTTGTAAGATCTATTGGTCTAAAAACAAAGTTTGGCATTTTGGGGGCTCCCAGGAATGTAACCCTATTTTTCCCATAAATTCTTCAGTTTGTCTAGCACAGTTTTAACTACCACGGCGTTTTCAGGAACACAATTACCGTATTAAATGACAGTCTACTGTACTTACACTGTTCCACAGCCAGATACTGTAATACTGTCCCACAGCTAGAAACTGCAATACACTGTCCCACAGTTACAAACTGTAATACTTACACCGTCTTGCAACTTGGATACCATGACTCCATTCCACTCCCCCTCTACTGTTAGTATTGGCTTCTTTTCCCCCGGGCTGAATACTTCTGCTGATATTCTGTGTTTTTTTCCACCATAGAATGGCTGTAAACAGAATATTTCTTTTTACAAACTGAACAAATTGTATTAGACAAATACATCAGTTTGATCTAGTATATTATGTATGCTGGTAGCCTTCAATGTCCATTAATTGAAAATGTATAAATATCAACTTTGCAATTTTTAATGGTGATGTAAATTTAGACTATCCTTACCACTAATGATTGTAGAAGTGTAAAGAATGAATGAAAGAGAAATATTTACCAGTACAAAAGTCCAAGACAAGATATACTGATGAACAATACTGAGAAGACAGTACATACACACAAATATACTGAGATGTTATGGATAGCTCCACACACACACAATTATACTGAGATATCATACATAACTATACACATGTACAATTATATCGAGATGTCATACTTAACTCTATACGTACAATTATACTGTAATGTCATACTTGACTACACACGTACAATTATACCGAGTTGACACATACGGCTCCATACATACGCATTAAAAATTAAGATTTTTGTTTCCATAAAAATTTTAAAATATACAAGACAATTTACCAATCCTACCTTAGTTAAGAATTCAACACTAGCATTATAACCAGTCTTGTTACATGTAATCTGACAAGTACCGCCAAGTTCAACCCATGGAACTGTCAAGATCGATCTGTGGGTAAGAAGTTTGTTACTAGTAGTGTCGGCACTAGACTCACAAAATCGTAATAACAAGATTGCAAACAAACCACGTAATGGGTAGGGTTTGAAACCATGGCAAGCGAGTCGTAAAACTCCAGGCCAGTGTGTTAAACCACTGGACCAGCTGGCTGCAATATGATTCATCTTACTAGGTATATTTCTATATATTATAGGGAGGTTAGCATAGGCCACCACTGTGACCACAAATATAAGTTTTGACAGGATTCAAACCCCACTCATTCCATGGTTTTTTAGCACTAGTGTAGATTTAATGAATAATATGCTGTTTAGAGTGACAACTAAACTGTCGTATCTGGGTGCCTGGCAAAACAGGGTGAATGATGGTGAAAGTGTTTCTTTTTTGTGTCGCCCTACCTCAATGGGAGGGGGCCAGATGAAATTGATTCCTAATAAAAGCCAACAGCTCAATAACCAAGAATTTAGGAATTTTTATTGACTGTCTATATACAAATAACTCACACTTAGGAGAAAAACTTTGAGCGATGTTTTGATCGAATGGTCCAAGTTGGATTGAAGTGAGGTCATACGATTCTCTCTCCTATGTGCGGGTTATTTGTGTATTGTTCCAGTCACGATATTATGACTTTCTCTTCTTTACTGTCTAATAATACTCATCAACAAATGACTGGGAGTAAACTGACACCTTTCAGTTACCTTTCTTCCTTCATCTGAGATAATTTCATATTTTTAATCACCTTGGCGTGAACCTACAAAATCCAGTGGAATGAAGCATATCCATATAAAAGACAAAAAATTATAACTGAAAAGGACCTGACGATATAGCATCATGGATATTTTGAGAGGAATTTTGTGACAAGAGGCTAAACTGGCAGCTAATACTACCTACAGAAATAGTGTTTCACTGATAAGCACTGAAAAATACTGAGGACATGAAACAAATTCAGAGAAATAACATGCTATCAAACCATTCAATTTCTGATGAACAAGGACTAAATATGCAATACCCACCTGCCATAACCACTGGGGAAGTTTAGAATGTACTCCTCATCGTGATCAATGAGTGACACACATCCCTGCCCAATGTTGTTGACACAGACGGAGAGACCCAGGAACTTGGACTTGGTCCAGATGTGACCACAGAAGGAGATCCTCTTATCCTTGTGCTCAGCATAGAAGGCAGATATGGGGGGATGATGGGACACTTGCTCAGCAACAAAACACAGTTGATTACTTTCAGCCCAAGGGATTGGGCCATCTTGTATGTCTACTCCTTTTGTATTCACACCAGGAACCTCCCAATAGCATCTAAATTGGTAAAATACTCTTAATATTTCACTTCGGTAAAACCATTAAATAATATCAAATACAGTGGACCCCCGGCTTATGATATTATTTCATTCCAGAAGTATGTTCAGGTGCCATTACTGAACGAATTTGTTCCCATAAGGAATATTGTGAATTAGATTAGACCATTTCAGACCCCCAAACATACATGTACAAACGCACTTACATAAATACACTTACATAATTGGTCGCATTGGGAGCTGATTGTAAACCGGGGGTCCACTGTACTGTGATTATCTACGCATCTCTGGCGAGACAGTGATAGTGTGAATGGTGTTGAAAAGTGTTTCATGATGATTCACTCAATATACACCAAAAAAGAAAGAGACAACAAGTTCTTGCCTAAAGACTTCACCCAAAATTGGATTGTAGGGTTTTCTGGCAACTTCACTCTTACGTCCAGCATGAAAGGCAGACAGATACCACTTAACAACTTGCACCATGCGATCCTGAGGGGTTGTCATGTCAGCAATGCTGAAATAAATGAAAGATGCTATTATTCCAGTCTTGATATACATGAAGGAAATTTTTAAATGGAGTAAATAAGCACAAAAAACATTCTGAATACCACACCAGTTATGATGTTCTACATTTATTGCTATTTTATAATGTTGAAAAAAGGATCTCGATGGGAAAATGGAGAAGAATCCTTCAAGAATTCTTCCTCCATAAGCCATGCATGTAGTAAAAGGTGACTAAAATGCAAGGCACAAAGGACTAGTAACCCCTTCTCCCAAATAAATTACTTCATGTAAAATAGAAAAACTTTTTTCTTTTTAGGTCACCCTGCCCCGGTGGGAGATGGCCAGTACGTTTAAAAAAAAAAATCTTAATGGCATTCCAAAGAAAAAACAAACGAGGTTATAAAAAGCTATAACGACAATTATATAAATGATGCTTTAATGCTTTAACCCTTAAATGGTCCAAACGTATATATATGTTTTTTCAACATCTGATAGTATGTAAAAAAATGTAGATCTTCTTTTTTGTTTTACATTTGAAAACGTGAAAAAAAACTTTTATCTACTTTTTTTTTTTTGTTATATTTGAAAATATGTAAAAAAAAGTAGATCTACTTTTGTAGCAATACGAATTTGAACGTCGATCTGTTTGGACCGTTTAAGGGTTAAGAAATGTCATCACCTGCAGAAGAGATCAGGGTGAGCAAAGAAGTCAGCATACATCTCCAGCAAGGACCGTCTTTCAAGGATGAATGTAGGAAGCACAACTTTGGTCAAGTCCATCCCAATTTTGACCTAAGGAAAAATTTAAACCATGTCAAAACACACTGCTTAAGACTCCATTCAGATTCAGCAATGTCTAGCGTACACCTTTGTAAACTACCGGTAGTACAGCCTCTCCTCACTTAGCGACGTATACTCGTTTACCGACCAATTGGACTTACGATCAGCTCTCCAACCAGTATGCATACCTAAATAATGTATATTAGAGCTGATTTTCTCTTTGATATACCTTTGAAGAATTTTGAGAGTATATCTACTCTCTGAGCCAGGCTCGTCTGGTGCTCGCCTGGTCAACCAGGCTGTTGCTGCTGGAGGCCCGTTGCCCCACATATCCATCACAGCCTGATTGATCTGGCACCTGGTGAAGATACTTGTCTAGTTTCCTCTTGAAGGCTTCGACACTTGTTCCAGCAGTGTTTCTGATATCTTCTGGTAAGATGTTGAAAAATCTGGGACCCCAGATGTTGATACAGTGTTCCCTTATTGTCCCCACCGCACCCCTGCCCCTCACTGGGTTCATTTTACACTTCCTCCCATATCTCTCACTCCAGTATGTTGTTATGGCTGTGTGCAGATTCGGGACCAAGCCCTCGAGTACCTTCCAGGTATATATTATCACGTACCTCTCTCTCCTCCGCTCCAATGAGTACATGTTCAAGACTTGCAGGCGTTCCCAGTAGTTTAGGTGCTTATACACTACTGTATAAACATTCAAAAATATACTAAAAATGTTGTAAATAGTGCAAAGGTGACATTAAAAACAATATCGAAAGATGGTCGACACAAACTCACAACCAGTACAGTATGCGCCTTGCTTAACGACCAATAATTTGCTTACCGAACTACTCCTATTAATGGAACCCCATCATTAAGTGAGAAGGCTGTAATAAATAAATGTCTTTATTGGTGAAGCCAGAATTTCAATTTGGGTGGGAAGGAAGCTTAAAAATCATAAGACACTGAAAAAACAAAGAAATAATTTTTAAAAAATATAATTGTTAGTATGAATGTTAAATTTATTAAACTATTATACTTTTTTGGTCACTAGTCAATATCATTAAGTGAAAAATTAGCCATTAACCCGTAAACCGTCCAAACGTATATATACGTTTTTTCAACATTTGAAAGTATGTAAAAAAACTTTGATCTACTTTTTTTTTGTTATACAGTGGACCCCCGGTTAACGAACTTTTTTCACTCCAGAAGTATGTTCAGGTGCCAGTACTGACCGAATTTGTTCCCGTAAGGAATATTGTGAAGTAGATTAGTCCATTTCAGACCCCCAAACATACACGTACAAACGCACTTACATAAATACACTTACATAATTGGTCGCATTCGGAGGTGATCGTTATGCGGGGGTTCACTGTATTTGAAAACATGTAAAAAAAACGTAGATTTACTTTTGTAGCACTACACATGTGAACGTAGATCTGCTTGGACCGTTTACGGGTTAATTAAAATAACGTATTTGTCTCCGAGGGTCTTTACCCCAATTAGCCTCCCCCGTGGCTGTGCACCGCCACTGTGACCGAACACCACTTCCATACCTCTACTAAAAACAGACTCTTCCTTAAATAATAATTTGGGTAACACCTCGGTCCATCCTGAAATGAAGTGACAACTAGTTCGGTTGGAAACTTGAAAATTCAAATTCAATTTTGTTTTCTTTTATGCGGTACACAGCAATGTAGTTTACATGTCACACAACAGGTGGGGTTCGAGCCCATGGAATCAAACCCCATCCATGGGTTCAAACCCCACCACATTCTGTGGTTTGTTTGCAACTGTGTTATTACTGTGAGTCATGTAGTTTATAATAAAACATTGTTAGGCACAAAAGAAAGCCACTAGTATACAATGCACTTCAGGTAAACTAATCCTAATGCTTAAAGATTACTTAAAAAGAAACTAGATATAGATTATTAAGTAGGATTTCTTCTGTAGTTGTCTACAGTGGTTCAGGATTGACCAAGAACTGAAAGTTCCTTGTCTAAAGTGTGATTACCTGTGGAAAAAGATTCCTAGATAATCTATAACTTCTACATACAGTGTTTTCAATACCATATCGTGTACTGGTGTCATTTTTTCTGTCTCAAACACGAGGGATACCACAAACATCTTGCTACTTCTACTTACACTTAGGTCACACTACACACGCATGTACACGTATATATATTTACACACCCATCTAGGGTATCTATTTTCTTAATAGTTCTTGTTCCTTTTTATTTACCTCCATGCGGTAATGGAAAAGAATTCTTCCTCCAGAAGCCACATGTGTTGTAAGAGGAGACTAAAATGCCAGGAGCGAGGTGCTAGTAACCTGACTCACGAAATCGTAATGACACGATTGCAAACAAACCATACTGCGACGGTCTGGAGTTTTGAGACTCTCTGACCGCGGGTTCAATCCCGCCCATGGTATGGTTTGTTCTAGTAACCTTTTTTGCTGTATAAATAAATGTAAAAAGAAGAAAAACCTCCTGGAAGTGTTTCTTCTTTTTTGGGTCATGCAGCGTCAGTTAAAGATGGCTCATGTTTATAATAATCTTCCTTCAACGCACCGGCCGTATCCCACCGAGGCGGGGCGGTCTAAAAGGAAAAACTAATGTTTCTCCTTTTACATTTAGTAATATATCCTGGAGAAGGGGTTATTAACTCCTTGCTCCCGGCATTTTAGTTGCCTCTTACAATACTCGTGGCTTACGGAGGAAGAATTCTGTTCCTCTTCCCTATGGAGAGTTAATAATAATAATAATAACAATAATAATAATGATAATAATAATACGGAAGCCTGTAATTGTTTTACATGATGGTAGGATTGCTGGTGTCCATTTTTCTGTCTCATAAACATGCAAGGTTTCAGGTACGTCTTGCTACTTCTACTTACACTTAGGTCACACTACACATACATGTACAAGCATATATATACACACCCATCTGGGTTTTCTGCTATTTTCTTACTAGTTCTTGTTCTTGTTTATTTCCTCTTATCTCCATGGGGAAGTGGAACAGAATTCTTCCTCTGTAAGCCATGCGTGTTGTAAGAGGTGACTAAAATGCCGGGAACAAGGGGCTAGTAACCCCTTCTCCTGTACAAATTACTAAATTTAAAAAGAAAAACTTTCGTTTTTCTTTTTGAACCACCCCGCCTTGGTGGGATACAGCCGGTTTGTTGAAAATGATAATAATGCTTAATTCTGAGTAAATGTTGTTATCTAACCTGTGAGAGTAGATGGTGTATGACGGAGCCGTGGCCTTCCATGGACTCCAGTTCAGGGTCGTCGTCTTCCTCGTACATCAGGTCATAATCAATGGAGGGCTCGGACGTGTCGAAAGGTTTATCTGAAGCACCACATACTGTTGAGGTACAAAACATTGAAAAATGGCATACAATAACTTGCACCTATAAATAAGGCTGCCTGAGCAAGCTCTGTTATCTGCTACATTTATAACCCAGGGAGAAAGGGGTTAATAACCTCTACTGTATAAATTACTAAATGTAAAAATGAAGAATATTTTATAGTTAATTCTTTTTTGGGTCACCCTGTCTTGGTGGGAGATAGCTGGTGTGTTGACGAGAAAAAAAATATATATACAGTGGACCCCCGGTTTACGATATTATTTCATTCCAGAAGTATGTTCAGGTGACATTATTGAACGAATCTGTTCCCATAAGGAATTTTGTGAATTAGATTAGTCCATTTCAGACCCCCAAACATACACGTACAAACACACTTACATAATTGGTCGCACTGAGAGCTGATCGTAAACCAGGGGTCCACTGTATATACAGGTCTCCCTCAACATTCGCGAGGGTTAGGGGATCAAGAGCCTCGCGAATGTTAAAAAACCGTGAATGTTTGGTGCCCCAATATATTGTAGGGAAATATATTACAATACTGCTTCCTTAACTTGTTGAACCATGAATAATCATAAAATACATGAAAACGTCGTAAATTGTACTAAATATATACATGTTATGCTTTAATAATGTATGTTATTTAATAACATGTATGTTAATAGCATGTATGTTATTAAATGCCACAGACTCCACCACTACGAGTCCCTACTACCCTCCCTCCGACCCCCACAACTGGCAGCCAGCCCTCCCACCACTCAGTGTGGTGAGAATTTTGTTTGTTCATTATTTGCTATTAAACTACAGAATAAATAATGTAAACCCATTCATGACTGCATATTGGAATGGCTATTAGGAAAGGTATTAGACGGTGACATAATGTGTTTACTCTTGAACACTGCAAAGAATCGAACTTTCTGCTATTGCTAATAATAACAATAATAATAATAATAATAATAATAATAATAATAATAATAATAATAATAATAATAATAAATACGATATAATTGAAGAAGGAAATTGTACAAAAATACTAGGGAGTGGTTAACACATCGTCAGTGTGACTTTGTTTATGCTGGAGTGAACATTAGTCTCCCTGCTCTTCCAAACATTTCACAATAATTCAGCGGTTGAGGCAGTGGTATTTAATAACATATATGTTATAAATAATAATAGTACATGTTATTATTAATAACATGTATTATTATTAACATGTATGTATTTAATAACATATGTTATAAATAATAATAGTACATATTATTAATAACATATTATTATTAACACGTATGTTATTAAATACCATTGCCTCAATCACTGCCTCTACCACTCCAGTCACACTAAATCTACAAGCACCAAATGCAATGAATTATTGTGAAATGTTTGGAAGAGCAGGGAGACTAATGTTCACTCCAGCATAAACAAAGTCACACTGACGATGTGTAAACCACTCCCTCGTATTTTTGTACAATTTCCTTCTTCAATTATATCATGTTTATTATTATTATTATTATTATTATTATTATTATTATTATTATTATTACTATTGTTATTATTAGCTGTAGCAGAAATGTTTAATTCTTTGCGGTGTTCAAGAGTAAACACATGATGTCACCATCTAATACCTGTCCGAATAGCCATTCCAATACGCAGTCATGAATGGGTTTACATTATTTATACTGCAGTTTAATAGCAAATAATGAGCAAACAAAACACTCACCACACTGAGTGGTGGGAGGGCTGGCTGCCAGTTGCGGGGGTCGGAGGGAGGGTAGTAGGGACTCGCAGGTGGTGGGAAACTTAAATATGATTTGGCGGCTGGGAATTTGGTGGCTGAGAATTTGGCGGTTGGGAATTCGCGAATGTGTGAAGCCCGTGAAAGTTGAAAACGTGAATGTTGAGGGAGACCTGTACGTAATCCAATCTGCTGTTATTTTATTTATTGCTGGAGTTCTCTTCAATTTTGCCCTAGAACTTGCCTTCAAATTCTTTTTGGTAGTGCCTGTATAACTCTAATATTTCCCATATGTTTCTTCACCCATGCATAATTAATCAATCTCAACCTCTCTCTCTCTCGTTAGGTGATAATAAGAGCTCTTTAAAATGGTTTTTCTGGTACGTACTCTGGTAACTCGTAAACATTTCTTGAGACTTCTATTTACTGTATATCAGTTTTTCACTCATCATTTCTTCCAATCTTTCCCTTTTCTTTTTCCAATACTATGAGTGTGCAATATTTATTTTATCAAAGCAATTGCTCTCTCTTTTCAGTCCTAAATATACCGGTATTTTTTTTTTAACAGAGAAGTCTCCCACTGAGGCAAGGTGACCCAAGAAGAAACACCTTCATCATCATTCACATATAATCATTGTCTTTGGAGAGGTGCTCACATATGACAGTTTAGATGTCACTCCAAACAGCCAATATCTCAAACCCCCTCCTTTAAAGTGCAGGCATTGTACTTCCCACCTCCAGGACTCAAGTCCAGCTAACCGGTTTCCTTGAATCTCTTCACAAAATATTACCCTGCTCACACTCCAACAGCTCATCAAGTCCCAAAACCCATTCATCTCCACTCACTCCTATCTAACATGCTCACAAATGCCTGCTGTATATCCAAGCAAATAATTATTATTGTCACTAGTCTTAAGTTAGGCCTAAGCCTGTATGAAATGCTCTGCATAGCCATGGGCTTTCTGCATGCACAACCAAATGTCACCCATCACTGTACATTGTATCATGCTGAAATAAATCTTTGACTTTGAATTTGAGATCTAACCTGATGCCTTGTGTGTGTGTGTGTGTGTGTGTGTGTGTGTGTGTGTGTGTGTGTGTGTGTGTGTGTGTGTGTGTGTGTGTGTGTGTGTGTGTGTGTGTGTGTGTGTGTGAAGGTAGCGTGGGTGTGGACGGGGACTGTGTGGAACTAACCTGATGCCTTGTGCGTGTGTGTGTGTGTGTGTGTGTGTGTGTGTGTGTGTGTGTGTGTGTGTGTGTGTGTGTGTGTGTGTGTGTGTGTGTGTGTGTGTGTGGTGTGTGTGTAAAGGTAGCATGGGTGTGGATGGGGACTGTGTGGAACTAACCTGATGCCTTGTGTGTGTGTGAAGGTAGCGCGGGTGTGGACGGGGACTGTGTGGAACCACCACTGCATGAACCACCACTTGCTCCTGAACAAAAACAAATTTCATATTATCATCTCTTATATCAATGGTTCCATGAACCTTCATCCCTGCAGTCTGGTCTCAGATCATGCCTTATAAACTGGAAAGGAAATACAGTGGAACCTCGGTACACGAACAGCTCCCTACACGAACAAAGCTCAGCACTCAACCAAACACACACGACTTGCCAGAACTTCGCTGTAAACTATTTCGTGTTTCTTCGCATTTTTTGGTGTTTTTTGTATTATTTGTATAAATAAGTCGCCATGGGGCCTACAAAGATTAGTGATAACAGCCAACCAAAAAGAAAATTAGTTTGGAGGAATTTGCTCGATACTCAAATGGATCGGCACTCAAACAGCCTTCTGGAATGAATTAAGTTCGAGTACCGATGTTCCACTGTACAATAATCCGAGATTAAGAATGTCATTAAGCCCAGCTGTGTATATAATGAATTAAGAACAAAAAGTGAGTGTAACAAATAACCCGTACATAGAAGAAAGAAAGTAATTATGTTTTGGTACAACATGGATCACTGACTAGTGTGACTAATTAATGGTCCTAGTTGGACCAGAATGTCGTTATAAGTTCCTTTCTCCCATGTACAGGTTATTTGTATGTGTAATGAATGAAAGCAGATGCTTTTAAAATTTACCTGACATATACACCTACCATCCAACTTACAACCTGCTCGACTTACGACCGTGTTTTTTATGCCAAATTTCTGGGAAATAAACAAGTATTTGTGTTGTACACAGTGTTTATCCTAAACCTTACAGTATAAAATACAGTACTAACAACATAAAAAGTAAAGTAAAACATGAAATACCAAAATAAAACTATAAAATAAAGTCATTACAAAAATGTTTTGTTGATATTCAGTAGTAAAGTTCAACTTACAACCATTTCGACTTACAACCGGTTTCTCGGAACTGAACTCGGTCGTAAGTTGGATGGTAGGTGTACTTTCTTTCTTCTTTCAACGCACCAGCCGTATCCCACCGAGGCGGGGTGGCCCAAAAGGAAAAACAAAAGTTTCTCCTTTTAAATTTAGTAATATATACAGGAGAAGGGGTTACTAGCCCCTTGCTCCTGGCATTTTAGTCGCCTGTTATGACATGCATAGCTTACGGAGGAAGAATTCTGTTCCACTTCCCCATGGACAACCTGATATATACATACTCATGATAAATAATAAATTTGATTTTATTTGACTAAAAATAAGTAGCTTGTAAGAATAGAATTAGTTTCCAAAAATGTCTTATATAGTAAGTGGCTTTCTTTGGAATATACAACTATAGTTGTAATACATTCTAATACCATCAAAATTGTATCCAAACTGTAGCAACATAATCTACAAACCCATCCATTGTAGCTTCTATGTATGCTTTAAAAGATATAAAGATTCTGATTCTGTTTTAAAACACTTTAAAAACAATATATTCTAATTCTATATGAACACTTTTTAGACTGGATTTCAATTCAATGAAAAATTTAGGTTCTTATATCTGCACAGAGTTTGTCAAAAAATTTAGGTTCTTATATCTGCACAGAGTTTGTCAAAAAATTTAGGTTCTTATATCTGCACAGAGTTTGTCAAAAAATTTAGGTTCTTATATCTGCACAGAGTTTGTCAAAAAATTTAGGTTCTTATATCTGCACAGAGTTTGTCAAAAAATTTAGGTTCTTATATCTGCACAGAGTTTGTCAAAAAATTTAGGTTCTTATATCTGCACAGAGTTTGTCAAAAAATTTAGGTTCTTATATCTGCACAGAGTTTGTCAAAATTTTTTTTAGTATGCTTTCTGACAAACTGATTCTAATTTCTTTATGCAAAACCTCCTTTAATTCTTTGTTTTTTGACTCTGTAGCTACCTGTTTTATATCCACTTAAGCATGGAAATAAACCAATCAACAGTGCTGCTTTCAGTAACAGAAAAATTATGTCAATTAGATAAATGAAACATAAAAATTCAAGCATTACCTGTTGAAAAAACATTTACCTCAAAAGGGCATAATAAATTAGAATGATAAGCAAGAATAGTTTAAATGATATAAAGAGAGAATTTAGAGACAGAAAACAATGGTTTATCTAATATATACTAAGCAGAGAGATAAATAAAACAATCTGTATAATATATAAAAAGCAGAGAAACAAGACTGGTTTATTATTATTATAATCAAAAAAGAAGCGCTAAGCCACAAGGACTATACAGCGGAGACTGGTTTATAACATATAAAAAGCAGATATATACAAGAATGGTTTGCATAACACACAGAAAGCAGCGAGAAATAAACAAGAATGGTTTTGGCGACGTATGGAAATCAGATAGCGATAAATAATAAGGAAAGCAGGAAAAAATAACAAGAATGATTCACATAAGCAAAGCAAGCAGTGAGAAACCTGAATAATTTCTCTAATAAAGACTCAGACACATATGCAACATCTGGGTATCTTTATTTGTAGACTACGGTACTCTTCAACTCCAAGGCTGAGGGACTGATTACCTCGTCTTTTGTATATAGTTCTACAATCTTCCCATTATGTCCCTGAATTTGTACTGATAAAGCCACTGGATGGCGAAACATTTACAAATAAAGATACCCCGATGTTGCACATGACTTAATTCTTCACTGCACTGCTACTGTATATCATTCGTGTACAATTTGCGTGATACAAGGAAGGCAGCAAGAGAGTGACCTGGCGATGTGGAAGAGTCCGGGGGGTTGAGGAGAGGCACCTGTGAAGCCGTGACATTGGAGGCACTGCTGACGCTGCTGGCTGATTCGCTGATGCCACTCTGGCCGGGTATGCTCTCCACGGCAACTTCAAATAACCGAGGGCCACTGAAACCAAAATAAGATAGGTGACAAAAACATTTTTTTTTTACCGAGGGTTTTTACAAGGTCAGGTCAGGATTAATAACTTTATTTACAAGCTAAAAACTGTTACATACATCAGGCCATTTGAAAACCATTTTAAAAATGGCATACGCACTAGCTTAACATGGGTTCTAGCCTCACCGGTATAGTGGTTTGTTTGTAATTATGTTATTACGATTTCGTGAGTTGGGATAAAGTTGGAGCCATCTGTGGCTCCAAGCACTAAATCAAAAAAGCACTAAACCCAAAAGGGTTATACAGAACTGCAGGGACAGGATGTGTTTTCAGGGAAAAGATGTAGCCTTTTGTTATTCTACACTTGTTATACTTTTATTCTAACAAATTTATGAACTGGCTTGTCATTAGCTTTTTTTCTTATTAAATCACGCCATTAACTTGTCCTTTTTACTTAATCAAGTAGAGTAAAACGTTAAAAACATGATGTAACAAACTGAAAAACAAGGTATCCAAACAAATTAATTTGCAAAAATCATTTTTTAATAAAACATTATGTGAAACACATCCGCCAAGCCTTTTACATGCACAGCTTCATAACTTTTTGTAAAACGTTTTTGTAATACACTATACTGGTACATACACTGTACAGTATATGTATATTTAATCTTTCTGGGTCTTAACAGCCCTTTATCCAACAGTTCTAATATTTCCGATATTGACCTTTTATGACGACGCTTCACCTTAAGATTCGCCTTCGTCCTCCTCTTAGTACATATCAGTAATTAGGTAATTACTTGCATAATTTTTTGGAATATTAGGTTATTGATGTTTATTGCTTTGGTAGCACCGACAATATGTTGGCCAAATATATTTGTTAATGGGATGGATTTGTGCAGGACCTGCCAAGTATGGGCCAGTAGGCCTGTTGCAGTGTTCCTTCATTCTTATGTTATGTAAATGGACAGAGATGCAACTAACGAGACATTTTATTATGGTAACATTTCCATTTATTTAATATTTTGTCGGTAATTCAGCCATTATTACCCATTTTTGTAATGTCGGTGCTCTAATTTGTACCAAAACTAACTTAAGAATGACTGGTTAAGCTAACCTTGTTAAAACTTGCTATAATATTTAAAAAAAAATTCTTTGCATACTGATTAGCTTACCAATCCAGGGTATAGGTGGGAATTGAGCCCATGACAAGTGAATCCTAAAACTCCAGGACAATGGGTTCTATAAATAACAAAAAAGGCACAATACCATGACTGGAACGATACACCGATCCCCGTGCATTCTGTGATTTGTTTGCAATCGTGTTGTAATTTTGTGAGACTGATTAGCCTAATTTACCGTAATATCTCTTCCAAGAATCTGCATAATCATTACCAATGATATCATACCGAAGCTCTGATGAATAACCCCAAGCCTAACCTTCAACGTGTAGGATGCAGGGTGATTTTGAGAGCCAGATTTTGAAGAAAAAGTGAATTTTATATGCTGCAAATACGGTAAGCATCTCCGGTAGAGTCGAACCTTGAGATGACTTCAGGTAACACTTGCCTTACACTCACATAAGAACATAAGAACGAAGGAACACTGCAGCAGGCCTACTGGCCAATGCGAGGCAGGTCCAAGTCTCCTACCGGCTTAAGCCAATGCACCCAACCTAGTCAGGTCAGGTCACATTGACTTAAGGGAGGAACAAGGCAACCGACCTGGTAGCACAAGCTATCAGGTCCAACTCACACCCACCCACATCCACTCATGTATTTATCCAACCTATTTTTAAAACTACACAAGGTTTTAGCCTCAATAACTGTAATTGGGAGTTTGTTCCACTCATCCACAACTCTATTACCAGACCAGTACTTTCCTATATCCTTCCTGAATCTGAACTTTTCCAACTTAAAACCATTGCCAACCCAATAAATTCAAGACAAAATTTTTAGACAATGTTTCAATGCATCCTGGATATCTGAATTTGTTCTGGACCATTATTAAGTAAGTTTATTTATAATAATAATAATCTTTATTTCTATAACATATACAAACTTTAGCTGACATCAATGATATACAGTGGACCCCCGCTTAACGATCACCTCCCAATGTGACCAATTATGTAAGTGTATTTATGTAAGTGCGTTTGTACGTGTATGTTTGGGGGTCTGAAATGGACTAATCTACTTCACAATATTCCTTATGGGAACAAATTCGGTCAGTACTGGCACCTGAACATACTTCTGGAATGAAAAAATATCGTTAACCGGGGGTCCACTGTACTACAGTATACAGTATAGAAAGTTTGAGGTTATGCAGAGAATTTTGGGCAAATTGGGTTAATTTTGCCCCCAGGAGGTGACCCACACCAGTCAACTAACACCCAGGTACGTATTTTACTGCTTGGTGAACAGAGACACGCCCTAATGTTTCCACCTGAACCAGAGAGCGAACCACTGACCTCAGCCTGTGAGCCGAGTGCGCTATCAACCCAGCTGGGTTATCCTACGTAATTTACACTACGTAAAATAAGTGTACTTATGTGCATCTGTACCTAAATAAACTTACTTATCATGCAACTAAATAATGACTCAGAACAGACCCAGACATGGTTGAAAATTTTGTCTCCAATTTGTTGGTTAGTCATGAATTGCTCCAGCCACAGTACAGTGGACCCCCGGTTAACGATATTTTTTCACTCCAGAAGTATGTTCAGGTGCCAGTACTGACCGAATCTGTTCCCATAAGAAATATTGTGAAGTAGATTAGTCCATTTCAGACCCCCAAACATACACGTACAAACGCACTTACATAATTGGTCGCATTCGGAGGTAATCGTTATGCGGGGGTTCACAGTATTGTGGCCTTTACTGTACCCAATAACAAGTAAATACATGTGCATAGTAAGAACAGTGAATCATGCAAGCTGGCATTACTTTTACACTGGAGCATAAACATCAGTCCAAACAAGCAGGTTCCTAGAGGTTCCCACAAATTAAGAATTTGCAAATATGTATCACTAATTTTTTTTTCTTACATTGTGTCAAGTTTAAATTTCTTTTTTTGTTTAAGGCTGTATCTCTTTAAATACCTCAAATCATTATAATAATACAGGTCGGCCATCACTAATCCGGCATCACTGGGACCTGTGGTGTGCAGGATTAGTGAGTTTGCCGGATTACGGAGTGGTTAGGCTAGAATGCGCTTAATTAATCTATCAATAGAGACTTTCTGCTACGCCTTCCTCATTTTCATCACTGTTTTCTCCGCCACTGGCTTGCTGCTGTGGATTTACAACCATCTGCACAATTTCTGAGTCAGTATAATGATGAAATTTGAGTCAGTATAGCGACGAAATTTGAGATTATGCCAGCCAAAATTAGTGCCAGATTACTGGTGGAACCGGATAATTGATTGCCGGATTAGTGATGGCCGTCCTGTACTGACATTTAGATGAAAGAATGTTCAGAAAAAACTAAATTTGGGTACAGGAAACCCAATGAGCATATTTTGTATGAAATCCTGCATTCTGTTTTTAATTTACAGGCCATGTGCTAAGGCAAGGACATGAGCATTGTGAACCAACGTGCAAATAAATAACTGGAGCTATGCACAGGAGTCCTCCAATAAAAAAATACATAATTAAGGCATACAATTTGATGATTGACAGTAAAAGATGGGTACTGTACAAGTTATGTACTGTATAAGTTGCATACTGCAAAAGTTGTGTACTGTACAAGTTGCATATTGTAAAAGTTGTGTACTGTACAAGTTGCATATTGTAAAAGTTGTGTACTGTACAAGTTGCGTACTGTACAAGTTGCGTACTGTACGAGTTGCGTACTATACAAGTTGCATACCGTACAAATTGCGTACTGTGCAAGCTGTGTAATGTACAAGTTGCGTACTGTACAAGTTGCGTACTGTACAAGTTGCGTACTGTACAAGTTGCGTACTATACAAGTTGCGTACTGTACAAATTGCGTACTGTGCAAGCTGTGTAATGTACAAGTTGTGTACTGTACTTCATTATCAAGTTCCTCTTCAGAGGTATTAAAGACTGATAATACTGATAACAATAATGCCTGTATACATCTGCTTGTTGATACGAAAGATTACAACTCTTAATGATACACAAACTTTTTTAATGATACAATTACAAGAATTTCCATACAAAATAATGCTGTACCACTACTGCACAGCAGCACGTGTTCGCATACTGAACTCAAATTTTTAACTTCAAAAGTGGAATTTATCTGCATTTATCAACCTCGTCTAAAATCTTCTTTTCTGGCAAAGGTTAGAGGTTCTCATAAATAACGACCCCCATCCCGTGTGAGCATGTAATCCTATATGTGATTGCAGGGGTTGAGACAGCTCCTGGCCCTGCCTCTTAACTTGCCACTTGCTGAATTCACTTCACCCTCGCCTCGTGGGAAGTATCGTACCTACTCTTCAAAACTGTACAGCAAATATATTACAAAAATATAGCATATTAAAAAAATGTTAAGAGGAACGTGATGAAAAAAGGCAGCTCTTAAGCATGACACCAGCAACACAAATGGAATAGCCACAAATGCTAACACAGCTGGCTAGCTTCCTTCATTGTATCACTGCTGATACAGTACTACATAACAGCTACTGTAGCCATATACAGTAAAAGTTATGCTACGCTACAACACAACAAAGATAATCTCTTTAAAGCTGCATAAAACAATTATAAAAGCTATCAGACACATGAATAAAATTTGTAAGGAAACAAGACAACGTCAAGGTTATAAAAATACGTAATATCTTTCATAGCATAAAATCTAAGAATGGGAACCAAAATACGACACTGCAAACGAAGCAGAAAAATCAAGCTCATAACCATGGTTCAGATTTTGAATAATAAGTGGGCCAAACTTTCGAGGGTGCTTCGTGTTAACACTGGATGAGGTGAGGAGCGAGGCAGCCAGGGTTACTTGACACTGGATGAGGTGAGGAGCGAGGCAGCCAGGGTTACT